TCACCCTCAGTGCTAGAGCCGAGGCTGCCCTAACTGATTGGATACAGATCAATGTCGCTTTTGTGCGATGAGGCTCCATGGTTCTTGTAAAGTTAGTAGACGTAGAGTCGAAAAGCGTGCTCTCTTCGTGATCTCCGTCTACGCACTCACTGACTGAAGCTCGGACACAGTCAAGGACCAGTTCTACCACAACCTTCATGAGCTGTTCCTAAGGGCACCTAAAACAGACATCATTGTTTTGGCAGGAGACTACAACACGCGTGTCGGTCGGTTGCTGTCATGTGAGCGCCAACTCCTGGGACCACATGGAAATGACGATTCCGCTCAGACAACGGAGACAGACTAAATAATAATAATAATAATAATAATAATAATAATAATAGTAAATGTGTCAGCTGTACGCCATAACGGCGCTTCGCCGCCGTGCGACCAACACCAGTCGCACGCGGGCGGAGTACACTGCGATGACGCCCACCCCTACGCGGATTCGAACCCGCGCCGCAAGAGTACGAGACAAGCTCGTTACCACTAGACTCAGTCTGTGTGTTGATCATCAGTATTTCCTCTCCAGCACGAGCTTTCCTCTTCCTGGACGCCAGTACGCTAATTGGCGCCCATCATCATCAACCTAGCGTTGGTCACAGATCGATCAAATAGCTGTAAGTCGCAGGTGACGAGGCAGCGTACGCGACTGCCGATAGTTTTGGTCAACATGCCTCGATGTCGATCATGTACTGGTATGTCCAAATACTTGCATGCATTTCGGTCGTCCACCTACGTCCAAACACACCCGACGGAACACCCACAAGTTGGAGGACAAAACGGTGAAGAAGGAATAACAATAAACGCCTCGGGAAAATCACGCTCCCACCCACGTGCCAAGTCTGCAACAAGCCTTGCTATCGGCCAGTTTGTTCAGCTGCGGCCTCACTCGTTCCACTCGAAAAAGCCGGATCTCGAAAAGATGCTTGGAATTGCTGGATCGCCGATGGGCGGCGCTTGCTGGCGCAGAACACAAGGTACACCGTCGGTCTATTACGCAACAGCTGAAAGCAAGTCCTCACTCTGATCGTGAATCCTGGTGGTCAAAACGAGCTGACGAAATGGAAGCCGCTGCATCAGCTGGTAACTTCCGCCGTTTATTTCGCATCATCAGGACCATCGGTTGCAATTCCTACGCTATCAGCCGGATGATTTGCGAATCAGACGGCAAGAAGATCACCAATCTTCACAGGCGATCGGGTCGCTGGGCAAAGCATTTCGCTCTTCAATTAAACCACCCAACACAGCCCCCTGTGGCACCTCCAGCTCCAACGGATCATGTTTGGACCGTCTCCACAGGCCCCCCAACTGAAGCAGAGATCCGAGATGCAATCCAATCTTTATAACGCCACAAGGCTCCTAGTCCCGACAACCTACCATCGGATCTATTCAAAGATGGCGAGAGCGTACTTTCAGCGAAATCCTATCGGTGTTCACGAAAGTGTGGACTGAGGAGAAGGTTCCGAACCCATGGGGAGAAACGGTCATTGCTCCAATTCACAAGGCTCCCGCGACGATTGCTGTTGCTACCGCGGAATCCCGTTGATCTCCATCGCATCCTAAATCTTAGTGTCGTTCCTATTCGTAGGCTTTCAACGACTAGAGAGGAGTTTTCCCGAGAAGAACAAGCCGGATTTCGCCTAGGCCGCGGCTGTATCAACCAAATCTTCACGCTCCGCCAACTTCTCGAACTTCGTCACACCCGCCGGCGGCCAACAACCGTAGTGTTCTTGGACATCTGAGCGGCATTTGATTCAGTAGACAGATTTGCGTTGTGGAACTGTTTGCTGAAGAAAGGTGTGCCCGACAAGTTTGTAACCATGCTGAAAAAACTTACAGTCACACGTCGGGCAAAGTCAGGGCTTATGACACATTCTCTTCTGCCTTTGCTGTGACCAGCGGTGTTCGCCAAAGTTGCCCTATTTCACCTTTCCTCTTCAATTTTGCCATCAATGATGTCGTCCAATGAGCACTTGAAGGTGTCCAGAACTGGTGTTGAGCTCCTCCCTGGAGACAGTCACGGACTACGCCGATGATAACGCCTTGCTGGGGGATGACATACAAAGCGTCCAGAGCGCTTTGGACGGCTTAGCAATGGAAGCGACTAAGTACGGCTTATATTTCACTCCGGGAAAATGCAAAACGTTGCTCCAGGATTGGCAGATGCCTGAACCCGCGCTCACCATTGCTGGACAGGTTCTAGAGCTTGCTTTACTTATTTATAGAGTTGCATCACGGCTAGTGGCGGTGTTGAAGATGAAGGCTCACAACGGATTGCAAAGTCTCGTGTCGCATTCATCAAACTGAGATACTTATGGCGTCGTCGTGATGCTAGTCTCAAGCTCAAGGTCAAAATATACAATGCTGCCGTCCATGCAGTACTCTTGTACGGTTTTAACGGCCTATCCGCTCGGAACACGAAGCGCTTGCCAGCTTTTGACAACCGCTGTCTACGAATGATTGCTCGGGTGTGGTGGCAATACCCCGTAAGCAACGCACAGGTCCGAGACCGAGTGCTTGGAGCGAGTAGTGCCAGTCTTCAGAATGTTATTCTCTAACATTGCATGCGTTGGCTCGGCCACGTATTGCGCATGCCGGCCTATCGCCTTCCGTCGAGCGTTATTTGCGCTCCCCGGAGGCGACTGGAAAAAGTGCCGCAGTGGACAGCCAATGACGTGGAGGAGCATGAAATATGCAACCTCAAGCTTAGCATCCTTTAGACGGGTCGGCCTTCCAGGAGGGGGACCACGTGATTCGGACTGCTAGTGGTTAGAATCGTTTGAGGCTATGGGGCGCAACCGGCATTAGTGGAAACAGTGCTGTTCTACCGTGGTGCCTATCAGTTAACGTCACATGGAACATAAAACTCCAAAACCCAAAGAGCACAAAGCGGCGTGTGCAAAACCGAAAAAGTCGTTTTCTTCATGTTGTATTTCGTTTCCCCCCCCCCCTTCATTTCGCCACGGTTCAGATGGTACATTATCTGTAATCAGATTGTGAATAATCTCTTATCCAACAGCCCCACCAGCAGTGATACAGCTCCCCAAGTAAACGAAACTCTCCACAACCTCCAGGGTCTTAACAGGAGGTAGGTGATGGCACATACATCTACCAGTCTTGAAAGAAAGTGTTGCAATTGCATGCGTGCAATGCGGAAGCGTAAACTACTTAGTAGATAAGCATCATCTCAAAAATTGAACAAGGATGTGGCAAAGGCAGTAGCCGATGTAGTTAACGTGGGGATAGTGTCACAACTCGCGATAACGCTCTATAGGTCGAACAAACGATGCACCCTGTTAAAAGTAGAAATAACAGCAAGTCTGCAGGTAAACAGCAGGGATAGTGTGACAAAACGCACAGGGAGTGATCGTCGAAAATTCGCCATATCACCGTATGGTAAACTGAACCCCAAGTTAATCTCGTTGGCCGTTGTTTAGTAGAAGACCAAGGGAGTGAATCTCGTCTAGAGTAGTTTGTCATGGCGTACTTTATGCGAATTCAATATGCCATAGACATGGAGTCCAGAAATGCCGGATGAGGATACTGAAGCTAAAACAATTGCCTCTGTGGGGAGTATGATTCATAAGTAAGGCGTACTTCTGTACGTTGTGGAATCGTCCTAGTCTTAGGTTATAACTAATAGCAACCGAACTGGCTTCTTAGTTCAGATTAATAGGTTTAAGAGCCGCCAAGCAGGATACGAGATCGGGCACAGCGGCGTCGTGGTCTTTAGAAACCCGGAGCGCATCGCGGAATAAAGCCTAGCTACGGGTTTAGTTTGTGTTCAATGGAAAAAAGCGCTCGTGAGTATTTCAAAGGTTAAAGTAAATAAGAACGTGGAGTTTGTGTCCTACTAAGTAAAATTTCCTCAAGGCAGCTTTGCACATCCACATAAGACCCGTTGAAAATACAAACTGAGTCAGGAACCAGACTGAGCTACCTTTCGGCCGGCAGAACTGAATGACGTGAACGAATTGGAGTCCAAGATTGGGTAGCTAAATGAAGACAATCTACTGTGTAGCTACAACGAAACAAATGGTTGAATGGGAATGCGAGACAAATCGGAGCCTACATATGCTAATTTCTTCCAATAAGTCACCGACCTAATTGCAATGGAACGCACAAGCCATCCTTGTAAGTTCGAAATGCAACTGGTCGAGGAATTATATCGGGCTGTGGACGAGTGTCTACGTGATGCGTCATCTAGTATCGCGAACTGAGAAGCACAAATATCACAATCGCACTCATTGGCACTTACCCTACCAAATAACTGACGGTGATTATTTGCAAAGGTGTTCAAACAGGCCTCCAATAAAGCTGCACTGTGGAGCCCAGTATAGTCAGTAACTGAATCACCTGTACACCCAAACCGAATCATTTCGAGTGATAGCAAGCTCTATGATGCAAGTTCATTCGAATTTGCCATTGCAATCAGTACCTGCCCAAAAGAACAACCAACAGATCTTATTGATACCGTCCGGGGATTTCTACTTGGTAGCTTACCTTGCTCTAAAACTGTCATTCACAGCTCAACTCACCCTAACCGTCCGTAGGCTTGTGTTTAGGCCATAAACAAGACTAACATGAGGCGAAGCGAAAACAACGGAAGAGGCAAAACAACTTGACAACGTTACGTGAACTGTGGGGAAGAAAGAGAAAAAAATTTTGGTGTTAAAAGAAATGGTCTATCATAGTTAAGCTACCACCGACGACAATTGAGAAAACCAGACAACCAGGCTGCTCCGCGGAAAAATCGTTCTCCAACAGGCTACAGTGATCACACTAGCAAGAGACGGCCATATGGGTGCTAATAGGAAAAGTAACCGTTGAACAAGGGAATGCAGACTGCGTTGAGCGTGAAGCATCACTGCAACAGTAAACAGTTTGAAAAGGCACTTAAAGCACGTATCCAGCTTATGTATTAACAAAATGCCATCGAAACAAACGCGCAAACCAACCTTGAATATTCTGGCTACGACCTCGTATTCGGGCCCTGCGACGTTCTGCGTAAGCTTGCCACTGTAATGTTCTTGGAGCCACTCATCGGTGGCGGCCATCTCCACATCGACGTGAGCATCTTTATCAAACAGTAGTATGACGAAATGATAACGCGTTTGGCCGTGTTTGATAGGAGGATCCAGCTGCACAACGAAGAATACCTGGCGGTTGTCGGGGTGAGGAAGAAGCAAGAGCCGGGTGATTGTGCTCTTAGGTACTTTGAAGTCGAAGGACTTCCCATGTAGGTGAACGAAGGAAGGGTAAAGCTTGATGTCATAACGGCCTCTAGGTTGCAGACACTGCAGTTGTTTGAATTCAACCAAGAAGTCGCCCGTGACCTAAGGAATGCAGAGAGTAATAGCTTGTACCTGGATGATATCGGCCTTTTCAGTGACCTTAGAGTATATTATAGCAGCTTTTCCATCCCGATCGCTTTCTGTGCCGGGAGTGTACAACCGCATTTCGGAGAGGCAAATTTCAGCGTCATCGTTAAGATGAAACTCAAACACAAGCTCGTTTTTGTTCAAGGTGGCGTTAGAGAGATTGCTTAGTGGAATTTCAAATGACATTAGATTTTTCACCGACATCTCCAAAACGTCACCTGTGAATGCAGTAACAACAAGATCGAAGAGATTCACCTTCAACTTCGACGTCACCCCAGTTGAAACCCTTATAGCAAAGCTCTCGTTTAGTGATTTCAATGTCAAAGTAGGTTTTGAAAAATTTTGAGATCCTCTCAGCTTCCATTTCTCCAAAACCATCGTATCGATGCAGCGAGTCGTTCTTCAGTTTAATGCGTAACCGCAACCCGGTGGCCCGGGCGATCCACTGTGCAGATACAAGATCACTGCGCTGGAAGTGGTCCACCTTTCCAGTCTTCTCATTTTTAAACATAAAATCACTTTCACGAAGG